GAGAGAGAGAGAGAGAGAGAGAGAGAGAGAGAGAGAGAGAGAGAGAGAGAGAGAGAGAGAGAGAGAGAGTGCAAGGCAAGGGGAAGCTAGCCAATGATTTCAGGGTGTGTGTGTGTGTGTATGTGCGTGTGTTTGTGTGTCATAATATCACCCAACCATTCATATTTCTGCATCGCTGCTCTATAGGGCTTGCAGCGAGCATTCCATTCTTGGCACTTGATGATTTGAGAAAAACAACCTCCTCTGATCGATTGTGAACAGTCGCAGGTGTGTGCATTCAACCACAGCTGCGAATCTTTAGACACATGTGACTGTCACATATGAGAAGCAGTCTTCTTTCCAAAATGTTCATGCGATAATGAATGTTGTTTGAGGAGACTAATCAAGTGCTGGTCATTTAAGGAGAGAGGAAGGGAAGAAGAGTAGAATGCAAGCATAAACAGAATAGAAGCCCTGTCGTATGGGGAGGGGAGAGGGAGAGGAATGACCTTTGGGCAATGTACGAACCCAACAGAGCGCCTATTCTGTGATGGCTCGGCAAAACCAGGAAATGCCGAAGTGTGAGACTTATCCTCATTTATTCAATTATAGGCTCTGGGTTATCCGCATTTGGGCGGAGTTTAACAATCATTACAGAACGAGGGGCTAAGTAGTCATGCATCAGAAAAGGGACTCGTACACACCGTCATCTTAAGAGGCTGACGTCCTTTGGGGCATTCATTAAAATTGGATGGGTACAGAGAAGATTAGCATAACCACTGTGCGAGGCACAATAGGATTCCCAGGCGCATCAAGACCAAGAAACAAACGGGGCCAAGTGTAACGGAGCCCTTGATGTGTGAACACCAAGATATGGACTGCGTGGCGATCTCTACGTTGTGGACAGTATAGGCTGCTGATCTTGTGTGATCAGGCGCCCAAATTCATCCAAATCAAAAAGCCGGTAGCCCTGACTGCACTTGGTTTTGGTACTGTAGCGGAAAGGTGGTTGAAAAGGTCCTACCTGTAGGTCCAAAAAACGAAAGGTATAAATATATGGTACAATTTATATAAATTTTGGGGAACCTACTGTCAGTGAACCCATTTGCAGAATACAAAGCCCAGCCGTTGTTTACAAACAAAAAAACACCCGTTATATTCGTACACAATGCGTGGGCGCATTATTTTCGGGTGAAGATGGTAGTAGCAGAGTGGACAAAGTAATGATCACACCAGCACGACATCAGAAATTGTTGAAGTCTCTTTGATAACAATAAGCCCCCTTCTCGTCTCCCAACAAGCAATACAACAACACCGATAACAGTTCCCTGCCCTTGCTGATGTCTCCACCAGCAGGTATGACCACCTACTTCATCATCTCCTCTCCACTAGACTTGACCATAGTATGGCGCCCGAGAGTACTGTGCTGGTCCTGCCGATGCCTGCTGGAGAACATATCATGCTGGAGCTCTTCTTTCCGTTGCCAATTCCTTTCTCCTTGATGGTCTTCCCCTTCCTGCAAGGATCTCCCCTTCTAGTGCCACCTCCCTTCTACAGCTCAGAGCTTCGACTTTTTCAGAGGCTATTGTGCAGATCTGCTCCTTGTGTCCAGCCACGGCTGGGGCTGGTTCGATGCTAGGAGGTGCCGTCTCCTGCGAGTGCTGCTTTAACCTAGCGCTCCTGCGACCTGGAGGCATCCTGCATCCCGAAGAGGCCTTGACCAGGCGTGGCCTTTTCCTCATTTGTCAGAGCCAGGACACTGTTCAGCCGGTAGTCAATGCCTGCCTTGATGATTCTTCGGGTTACGAACGTGCCGTGACCGTTCTCAGGCAGCCCCCTACCAGGTCTAGGCTTGAGCCTGACCTGCCTGAGAGGCCCACAATGCCCCACGGTCTTAAGATATTCTTTTTTTCCCTGAAATTTTATCTGTTTCTGCTTAGAGGAGGCTCTCTTGTATGCTATGTGCTTTGTGAGTGTAAGGAGGTTACCCTGGATATTGCTTGCAAGGGAATGAGTTGATGGATTGATCAGCACTATTCAACATGTGAGAAAAGATTGTAAAACAGATTACGCTCCCCGTATTCTGTTGAAATTTGCGTGTTTTCTTATTTTATTTATTTATGGGTGCAGGAGGCTTTCTTGCACGCACTGGGTGAGCGTAACGAGGTTACACTGGATTTTGCTTCCAAGGGAATGTCAATTGTTTACCAACTTGGTGGTGCAAGAATGAGGGAAAGGCTGGTTGAGTCCCTTGTGGCATCCCTTTCAGGAGTGTCAAAGAAACGACGGACAGTGAAGGTGAGTGACTGACATTCGTTTTTCTGGTACATCATGCCGTATTCACATGAGAGGTTCCTGGTTGCATTTGATTGCAATTATGGCGAGCCCTCAATGTATGTGACCACATCATGGCCAGCCCTCAATGTATGTGACCACAATTATGGGCAGCCCTCAATGTATGTGACATTGTGACTATAATTATGGCCAGCCGTTGATATATCTCTGGGGATCATAATTCTTATTGGCATAGGAAGGATATAACCTTTGTAAGTGCGTCTTACAAATCCATACTTCTTAAGTCGTTCTACAAGCTCCTTGATAGGGGCTCGGCGGAGAATGAGTCTCGGGTGTATCCTTCTTCGGTATACTTTTCCGTGCGCTTCGCGCCTAACCCAAGAGATTTGATTTTGTGCCTTCCATTTCACGGCATGAATTTGTGATTATGGTCAGACCTGGCTGCATTCGACCGCAATTATGGCCACCCCTGGACGCATCTGACCGCATGCTGGTCGAGTCACTTGTGGCACCTCTTTCAGGAGTGTCAAAGAAGGGACTGATAGTGAGGGCAAGCAATGTCGAGTCCATTTTTTCCGTAAATCAGGGAATACTAAGACGTTCTTTGATGCATCTGGCCATGATTATGGCCAGCAGCCCTGGATATTGCTGGCCACGATTTTGCAGATTTGGACTTTCCTGTTTTTTTTCCGCCGACCCCCGACTGGCTGGTGCCGACCAGTCAAGGGCCGCCGACCGTTGGCGTGTGCAACCCTGTCATCATTACTAATGAGAACATTTGTTTTGGGGGTCTCAAACCGTGTTTTTATTTTTCGAGGGACAATAGTGGTTCTTATGTTGCATTTGCATTTGGTTTGGTTGACAAAAGATGGGCAGGTTGAGGTTTTCTCTGCAGCTCTGCAGTTGCTTCATGTTCGATTAAGAAATTGAGAAGAAAAGATAATTGATTGCGGGCCTGGCCTGCCACAAGAGCTTGACAATTGTGTGCTGATGTTTGCATTCGTATTCGGAACGGATTCAATTGCTCATTCAGAGGACAGGCGATAGTGAGTCACAAGAGGACAGTTCTTCTCTGGATACGCCTGGTGGAGGTTTTCTCAGCACCTACAAGGAGCTTTGCACAATCACAAGTGAGCTTGGGCAGCCAGAACTTCTTTATAAGTTTGTGGTGAGTTCCAGATCTTTGCTCTCTCTCTCTCTCTCTCTCTCTCTCTCTCTCTCTCTCTCTCTCTCTCTCTCTCTCTCTCTCTCTCTCTCTCTCTCTCTCTGTGCCCCCTGGATGGTGCTTGGGAGACAGGGTGGCCATTTGTTCTGCTCCACTAAGGGCAAGGCCTGCCTTGGTCCTGAAGGCCTTGGAGCACTCGGGACCCTGTTTGTACTGTTTCAGCCTTTTTGCATTCGGGACCCTGTTTGTACTGTTTCATCCTAGGGAATCTTGGATTCATTTTGTTAAGGACATTCATGAAATATAATCAGAATATGAAGTTATGAGCAGTCATGGGGTCTTTTCAGAACCTCCAAACTTTCAAGATAAGATGTCGAGGACAGTATTGTGCAGCCACTTATTGGCTCCTTCCTCTGTGGTTTGGCTTCTCACGTACAAAAGAGCAAGGCAAAGACTAGGGGGTCTTGTTCGTCTTCCTCTTCCTCTCCCTTTGCCTCCTCGTCCTTCTCCTTCTCCTCCTCCTCATCCTTTTTTCTTCTCCTTTGTTCCTCTTCTTCTTCTTTGCCTAGCTGTTGAAGATCTACCCGCATAGGTGCATCTAGCACCCCCAGTGGTGGTTCCCCGCTTGACTCTGATTCTTTGTGTTTCTTGGCATTGGGCAGGCTGTTCTCACATCCCGCCGAGGAGGGTCTCCAGGCTTCGCCATGATAGCCAAACGAGCCTGTACTGAGCTCCAGCCACATGTGTCGCCGCTTGTTCCGAAACTCTATCGTTACCAGTATGACCCTAACAAGAGCATTCAGGTACTTCACATTCATCTACTCCCTACTGTCCTTTTTTTTTTCTTCCTAACTAAGCTATACTCTTTGGAGTCTTCTGTCAAACACTACCTAGCAGCAGCCTTTTGGTTGGTTGGTCTACAAACTTTCCTTACTAGCCTAGCCTTGTCTGTCTCAGCCTAACCTCTGGTGACAGGTGGAAGGGAAAACCCCTACCAAGATCAGCCAGGGGGGGCAAGCCAACTATATCTCAGCTGGTGAACCCAAAAGCCCAACTGTGTCAAGCAGCTTCTGCAGTATCAGGTCCACCTTTGTACCCTTTCCTTTTCTCTTGTTCGTTTGTTATTAGTAACTTATTGCTGTTCTTTTTTTTTTTTTTTTTTTTTCGTTCATCTGGTCAGGGTTGCACACCCCGACGGTCGGCGGCCCTTGACTGGTCGGCTGCCGACCCGCCGACCGATCGGCTGGTCGGCACCTAGCAGTCGGGGATCATCGGCACCCCGCACTTTTTTTGTTTTTTGTTTTTTGGGATCCAGAACCCCTAATAACCCCACCCACACCCCCATAGCGGCCCCCAATACCCGCATACACCAACCTAACACTCCCGAACCGCCCCCAACATCCTTACTAACCCCCCCAATATCCCCTATATCACCCCTATACTCTGCCTATACTCCAACCCATACCTCCGGCGTATCGCGTGCGCTCGAGCTCTGCACGTGCGGCGCATAACGCACGTGTAAGCATGCACGCGCACGTGATGCGACGCACCCCACTAAATAGGATATAAAAAAAAAATTGGAGAAGGCTGGCTGAGGTAGCCAATGGTGCCCCTCCCCACAGAAAAAAAATAGGGCCCACGTATTCCTTGTTGAATAGTCTTTTTTGCGGAGGACCCCAGCAGTACATATGCAAGGGTCCCAACATCTCAAGAGATGTTCAGCAAATTTCGCATAAAAGAAGAACAGGACAGCAATATATGTTCTGGATCCGAAGTCAGGTCTGCTTTCAAGCAGTTATGGGTTACAAGTTACAACTACTTACTACTGTAGCTCTCTCTTTCTTTCGTTTCTTTTTCCTACGAGCAGTGGCCCTAAGGGCCTTGCTCCACTCGTCACCAGCACAAAAGACAAAACATATGCGGCGTATGTGTTCCATGTTCTAGCAGAAGATTCATTCCTCTCTTTCTTTTGTTTCCTTTTCCTACGACAAGTGGCCCTAAGGGCATTGCTTCACTCGTCACCACTTGCACAAAAGACAAAACATATGGCGGCGTGCGGTTCCATGTTCTAGGAGAAGATTCATTCTAGTTTTGCACATTTTTACTGGAGGGTGGGAAGCCCTGAAAAGCACGTGGTGAGTTGGCCTGCCATTGCCCTGAAACTTGCGTGCTCAGTGGTCCCATAGCTGCTGAAACACGGACTCAACAGCATATATACTTGGCGTGCCATACCGCATGGCTATGACTACTACCTCGTTCATGGCAACGTGGCCCTTGCTGATTGTGTGCAGGGCCCTCTCGGATAACCCGCAGGGGGTTTGAAATAAATATTAATAAGGAGCTATTTGTTTACATTTTTCCCCCTCACTCTCTCTCTCTCTCTCTCTCTCTCTCTCT